CTCGTTCCGGCTGTAGACCAAAATGTCGTCAAAGTACACTACGACAAAGTGACCTATAAATGGCTTCAACACTTGATTCATTAGTCTCATGAATGTGCTTGGTGCATTGGTTAATCCAAATGGCATAACTAGCCACTCGTATAACCCGAACTTTGTCTTGAATGCTGTTTTCCATTCATCTCCCTCAAAGATTCGAATTTGATGATAACCACTTCGGAGATCAATCTTTGAGAAGATATTGGATCCATGAAGTTCATCCAACATGTCCTCAAGCCTAGGTATGGGGTACCTATACTTGATGGTAATCTTGTTAAGGGCTCGACTATCACAACACATACGCCAAGTACCATTTTTCTGTGGCACCAAGAGAGCAGGAACAGCACAGGGGCTCAGGCTTTCTCTCACGAATCCTTTGGCTAGTAACTCATCAACTTGCCGTTGGACCTCCTTGGTTTCCTCAGGGTTCATTCGGTACGCAGGCTTGTTTGGTAGGGCAGCTCCAGGAATGAGATCAATCTTGTGTTGAATGTCTCGTTTCGGTGGTAGGCCGTGAGGCACATCTTCGGGAAAGACATGGGAGAATTGCTCAACGATATGCTTGGCTAACTGGAGGGGTGGTGCTGAGATTGTGGCAGAATCGGAGGCTTCGTTTTCAAAGAGAATCAACTCTTTTTGGGGTTCATATTCATGGTGTTCGGCTTGCAATATAGTGGAAATGAGAACGGGGGTTTCTTCTTCGGATGGGGGGGTAGCTGTGGGGTTAGAGGGGGGCAAGGATGTGAGGGTAACCTTCTTCATTTTGATGAGGAATGAATATGTGTTTGCATATCCATCATGGAACACCTTCCGATCAAATAACCAAGGTCGTCCCAATAGAACATGGCAGGCATCCATTGGGATGATATCACACCATATCTCGTCGGAATAACTTCGTCCAATGCTTAATGATACCAAACTCCGGGAATCCACACGTAATCCCTTGCACTGGTTTAACCACTGAATCGTGTATGGCCTCGGGTGTGGTGAGGTCTTCAACTTCAGCTTATTTACCAACGTTTTTGAAGCGACATTGGTGCAACTTCCGCTATCCACGATCAAAGTACATACCTTCTTTTGAATAGTACAACGGGTATGGAAAATGTTTTCCCGCTGTAGTTGGTCATCGGGACTAGCTATGTTACTCAAGGCCCTTCGGATGACCAAGAGTTCTCCTTCGTCCGCTCCAACACACTCTTCTTCTTCAAGCTCTTCTTCAGCCCACGAAGGACTGATCTCTTCTTCTTCGCATTCAACAATGGCCATTATCTTCTTGTTGGGACATTCATTGGCAAAATGCCCTATGCCTTGGCAACGAAAACATTTGGGAGTCCGGGTGTTTGTTTGGGCTGTTTTGAATGGGGGTGGATTGGTGGACGTAGACGGGATAGAGTTGGGTTTTGAGTGGGTATTTTGAGCAGCGGTGTTTGGAGTTATCTTTGAGGTAGTTGGAGGGGTTTTGGAAAAGGGTGAAGTACGGACAAATGAG